CTGGAGGGATGCACCTGCCTATTTCCTTATTATTTTATGGTTGAAAGAGGCTGCTTTTGGCAATCTTGGAATAATTAACTCTGAGGGTATCTGACGATTTAGAAATGTTTTTAGATGTTCTGAATTGTTTTTATTTTAATTTATCTCAGGAAGCAGGGGCCTGTCTAGGAATATAAGATTCGCTGGATGAGGCCAAAGGCTTATCTCGTCCTGCATTTGCTCATCACAGCGGCCAACTAGATGTATGTGGGCAGCTCACAAGCAGGACATGAGGGAGTCCATAAGGCACCCTGATGGTATGGCAGAGGACTTGCTTTTCTTCTTGCCTCGCTTTTTAACCCTTTGTGTCTTTGTGTACTTCTAAGGTACTCCATATTCTGCATGAATTTTGGAAAAAACATTTCCTTACCAATAGATAGAATATTGGGTGTCATTCCAATACTGGGGTATTGATTGGTTTCCACCCTTGTCCTTCTAAACCCCTCTGCCAACCACTTTGGGTTTTCTTCAGGGAAAGCATGAGGTTAATGGTTAGAGAGTTGGGCTATGACCTGGGAGACCAGGGTTCAAATCCTCACTCAGTCATTGTCTCTCAACCTAACCTACCATGTGGAGAGGAGAGCCATATACACCACCCTTGAGCTCCTTGGAAGAAAAAGTGGTATATAAATGTAATAAATATAAATAAATAAATAAACCAACAATGAGTCAACAGTGTGAAGCAACAGCAGCAGCAAAAAGAAAGAAAGAAAAGAAAAAGCTAATGGTATTCTAGGCTACATCAACAGAAATTTCTGATCCAGGGAAGTAATAACACCACTCTATTCTGCCTTGGTCAGAACACTGTGCCCAGTTCTGGGCACCACAACTTAAGAAGAATATTGACAGGCTGGAATGTACGCAGAGGAGGGCCACCAAGATGATCAAGGGTCTAGAAACCAAGCCTTATGAGGAATGGTTGAGGAGATGAGTATGTTTAGCCTGGAAGAGAGGAGACAAGGAGGAGATATGATTAGCCATCTTCAAGTATCTCAAGGACTGTCACCTGGAAGAGGAAACAAGCTTGTTTTCTCCTGCTCTGGAGGGTGGGATCTAAACCAAGGGCTTCAAGTTACAAGAAAGGAAATTTGGCAAGGAAACATTTGGAAGAACTTTCTGACAGCAAGGGCTGTTTGACATTGGAATGAACTCCCTTGCAAGGTGGTGGCCTCTTCCTTGGAGGTTTCTAAGCAGAGGTTCGGTGGGCATCTGTCAGGGATGCTTTAGTTGTGACTCCTGCTTTGCAGAGGGTTGGACCAGATGATCCTTAGGATCCCTTCCAACTGTACGGTTCGATGACATATGAGACAACGATCCAGCGCTAAACTCGGCTTTACCTCTAAGTCGCGTGTGAACCGGTCCTTACTCCCGGGCGAGCCCGCATTAGGACTGCAGCTTTACGGGGACTTCTGAACGAGCCACTTCCCCACCCGCACTGTCGGAAAGCGGGTCGCCCGCATTTCCAAGCCTCGATCTGTCCGGGGCTTCCTTAAAGCTCAGGAAGTCCTTTTCCTCTTTTCTCTCCCTCTCTCCTCTCCTCCTCCTCCTCCTCTTTGGGTTCCCCCCTCCTTCCTTCCTTTCCGCGCAAACTCTTCGCCATGCCTGCTGCTGCCGCCGCTGCTGCCGCCGCTGCCATTGGTATCACACACACTCCAGCGAGAGCCCTGCAGGAGCCGGAGCAGCGCGAGCCCAACCCTGCTGCTGCTGCTGCTGCTGCTGCTGTTGCAAGGAGAGGCGAGGCAAGAGGATCAGCGGCGGCGGCGCCCGGCAGCCCGGGGCCCAGGCGCGCGTGCCTGCCCGCCTGCCTGCCCGCCCGCCTGCCAGAGGGAGGAAGGATGCGAGCCGCTGGCTGCGTTTGCTCCGCAAGGGTCCGTCGTCTGCAGCAGCAGCAGCCCAACCGCTGCCGCCGCCGCCGCCACCAGATCTGGGAAACGCTTGTGCAATAGTTCAAGTGACGCACCGAGGGAGTAGGGAGGGGGGAGATTCCCCCCTCCTCCTCTAATTTTCTTTCTTTCTTCTTTTTTTGGAAGAAGGTGGAGACTTTTTCATTTTTTGTATCAACTACGGGGTTCATCCGCAGTGCAAGTTAAAAGGAGCCTTTTTAAATGAATCTTCCTTGCATTTGCGCCCCCATCATTTTCTTTCTTTCTTTCTTTTATTAAAAATAATAATATAAATGAATCACCCCCAACCCAAGGGATGGCAAACTTCAGCTCTCTGGCTGCTTCATCGTGGAAGATCTTAAAGTCCTGCTGAACAAAGATCAGGTAAGGAGCACAGGGCTTTGTCCGAGGATGGAAGGAACGGAGAGAGGGGGGCAAAGGCGAGCGCTTGGTCGCCACGCGTTAGCCGCTCGTCGGAATGCCAGCAAACGGCGCTCCCCGCCGCGCCATCGCTCCCACCTGCCTTGCCCATCAAGTGCCCGCGGAGAAGCCGCCGCCGCCGCCGGGCTCCGGAGTAAAGTTGGTTGCGATTGATTGCAGGATGAGTTCTCTTTTCACCCCCGCTTTCCATCCAGCACCTTCCTGCTCCTCTCTTATCTCCCCCCTCCCCCCCACCGGATTCCATCCCGATTCCTCCTCCTTTCAGATAGATGGCATGGAACGCCAATTAATTATTAGTATCTTTATTTTACTGTTATTCCTAATTGCTCCGCTTGTGAACGCCGCTCGCAAAATGCCACAACTACTAATCGCAATCTACCCTCCCCCCCCGCAAAATTTTCACCCCCCGCCTAAGGTAGCAAGTTTGGTCCTGCTTTTTAGAGCTTGCACATTTAAATAAACAAACGATAAAAAGGTAGCTTTTCTAATGATGATGATTGCAAATGAGAGAGACTCTCTCCCCCCCCCCCACGGATGAGTCGGTTTGGAAGTTTTTTAGACTGATATTTATAGTGGCAGTTTGCGGCGGCGTGGGGGTGGCAGAGGCGAGAGAATAAATATCTTTTTGTATGTGTTTCTCGCTCTCGTCTTTGGCCGGGGAGGCGAAAGATACAAGTGTCCGGTTCTTCTTCCTCCTGCTGCTGCATTCACGCGAAAGGTTCTCTTCCCTCCCCTCCTCCCCGCCAAATTCAGCTACCCCCCCCCCCCGGGCTGCTTTTTGCTGCTAGCTTTTAACGCCATGAAAACGAATAAGCGTAAATCGGCTACGTCTAATTCGAGGCTTTTAGGTTTTTTTTGTTTTTTGTTTTTTAATGCGTATGTGGATTTATTGATGCAAAAGAGCCGGGGGGGTGGGAGGGAAGGAGGAAGGAGATTTTCCCAGCGGATTCCTTTCTTTCGTGAATGCAACTTCCCAACATCGTTTGCATCTGAAATGGGTGCGATCTGAATCATCGCTTGCAAATTTTGGAGAGGTCTCTGTGCATCGGCGGGGGGCGGGGGGAGAGGAAGAGAAAATCGGTGGTCGTTTGGTGTTGCATTACCTAATGCCAGGAAGAAGAAAGAAGGAGAAAAAATTCTCTTTCTCTCGGCGGAAGGCAACGGAGTGTCTCGTTAGCTGGCTAAATTGCAATTGGATTCGGCGGCTCCGGCAGTTTAATTGCTTTGGCTTGCAAGCCGCAGTGTTTCTTCTTTGGGGGGTGGCAACAGGATGCAGGACTCTCCACCCGCCTCCCTTCCCCAAAAGGAACAGATCCAGAATACGGAAAGGCTTCTGCTTTGAAGAGAGAAGGTCGATGACAGAAGGCGAGGCGAAGAAGGAAACGGGATTCATTAGGGAAGCTTCACTTCCAACTCCTGTTTTTTAAAAAAGTAATACTGCCTTTTTTTTCTTTTTCTTTTACAAGGTGGGTGATTCTGTTCAGAAGTGTTTTCTGGCGCCCACTCTAGGAGAAGGAAGAAATGACACTCGGTGGCCAGAGTGCCCTTCTGTCTAAAACACACACTCTTTTTCCTGGTAATGATGGTTGGTTCTCACATGTATGTAATCCCTTTCTTTCTCATGACCCACATGTGCATGTGTGAACCAACACCATTAAAAAGGCTTGTGTTTTGGAGTACAGGCATGTCCTGTCAGTGGTGGTGACAGCTGGATAGCTCATGTATACAACCCCATTTCCACTTGATGCCATAGGCGCTGGGTTTTGACTCTTCAGTTGTATCTTAAAATAAAATTGTGTTATGGGTGCTAGAAGCAGGGTTGAAGTTTATTTCCCGATAGATTCTTGTTTGCTTGTGTTGCATTGAGTTACCACTGATTGGAGATTGGCTTGTAAACATGCCGGCTATCGCTTGGCGCAAAACTCTCAAGAGGTAAAATGCAACATGCCTACATATTTTATATTCTTACAACCCATGTCTCACTGACCTCTGCACCTTTGTAAGTTGTGCCATCCGTGTGCTCAGGCAGTGTCTTAAGAGTGTGGCAGTGAGGCCTTCTGAACAGCTCCAGAGCACAGAATTTTCCCTGGAGATTCGCCAAAGTCAGAATCTGAGCTTTATTTTATTATCTCTTTGTACCGTCTTTCAGCAGTTGCGGTTAGAGAGAGAACACTTAGGAGAGAGAACACTGTTCCGTCTATATTTTAATGGGTTACTTGCCCCTAACGCTTCTCATGTGTGAACTAAATATCTTCATAGATCTAAATCAACTTTTGCCAGCCTGGTCATTGCTAGATGTTTTGGACTATGATTCGCATCAGCTTCAGCCAAAACATCTGGAGGGGAGCACCAGGTTGAAGGCTAGTCTAAATCTAAAGTATTTTGTGGCGGCTGGATTCAAATACCTGCAGCAGCGTTTGCTATAGACGATAGTCTGACATTATTCTTTTTGGAGCGATGAATAAGAGGATGTGTGTGTAACATGACAGGGAGTGAAAATGTGCATTTAGATGCTGGTGGGGAGGTGTAGTGAGATGAGTCACTTCTATGCATCTGTCTTGTTTTTTTCCTCCCCTTCCTTCATTTGCACCGTTGGTTAACATTCTGCTCCGTTCCTCTATGCACTCACCTGGCTGCATTCAGAGGGACAGATTTTGTTGCGATTTCTCGGAACACTTCTGTGACACAAAGGGCGGCTTCAGCTCTCGTGGACCATAGAACGGGGGTGTTGAACATGTGGCTGCCCATCAAACGATGTCGGACTCCCAACTTCCATCAGCCCCGGTGAGCATCTTCAAGGATGATGGGAGCTGTAGTCCAGCGGCATCTGTAGGGCCACAGGTTCCTCACCCCGGCTTTAGAGACTAAGTGATCCCTTCCAACCCTATTTATTTAATGGGTGCATATGGAACAGTGGGGCAGTTTCTCTGTTTGGTTGAGAGCGCAAGCCACTAGGGGTTGGGGAAGGGCTGGAACTCAGTGGTAGAGCACCTGATCTGCAGGCAGAAGCTTCCAGGTTCAGTCCCCAATGGCAACTCCAGGCAGGGCTGGGAGAGACTCCTGCCTAAGCCCTGGTGGGGATCCCTTGCCAGTCAGTGATACTGAGCTAGGTAGACCAATGGTCTGACTCAGTATAAGGCAGCTTCCTGTGTTCCAGGAGCAGAGCAAATGCTTTGCATACAGAAGGTCTTAGGTTCAGTCCCCAGCAGCATCTCCAGGTATGGCTGGGATAGAACCCTGCCTGAAGCTCTGGAATGTTGCTGTTGGTTGAAGTTTCCAGAGCCAGAAGGACCAAGGGTCTCATTTGTTGTAAGGCAGCCAAGAGGTCCTCCTGGTCCCCTCCCCACACCTCAGTGAAGATTCACTTGCCAGGAGGGTTGTGTGTGCATGTGTGTGTGTGGGTGGGGGGGGGGACTATGCTCTCAGCTTCATCTCCTTCTCAACTATATGAGGGTGATATTAATCCTGACCTGCCTTACAGCATCATTGGAAGGATTACCCAGATAGACATGGAGCATTTTGCATGCTCAAATGTGCTACAGATATTCTCAAGTGTTGTTCAGTGTAGAGAATACTAATTTTTTTTGAAAATCTTACAATTAAATCTTAGGCAGGCTTTCCTAGAAGTAGGTTCTATGGAGTCCAACAGCTCTCACATTCTAGTAAGTGTGCTAAGAATTTGAGCCCAGGCTTAAGTGCTATAGTTGTGTGTGTGTGTGTGTGTGTGTGTGTGTGTGTGTGTTTTGCAAGATGTTTTATGATCATATTGTTACATAAATCAATATATGTTTAGTGAGAAGCATGCCCCTTGCTGTTCATGGGGCTTGTTCATTAGTAAATGTGTTTTGAATTACAGCCTAAACGTGATTTCTGGATTGCAGAGAAATCTCTGTGTGTATTATATCAAACGTTTTTTGGCATGGCGTGCTACAAGACCTTATGGAGCTGGTTCATTTACTTGCCTCATCACTGAGATTCTTAAGCCAGACTTATAAAATAGTCACTCATCTGCAGTGAGTAGGTTTACCTGCTTCCCTTTGCTCATTGTTTGATGCTATGGATTTACAGGTGGGAAGGATTTTCTTTTTTCCTGCCACATCAGATTAGTTAGTGATTCTGGGGCTGTTCTTTACCTTCTCTAGGATCATGCACCTTGCCTCAGTTTCTTGAACTGCTTTGAGCTGGGACTCTGCTCCAGAGCTTGTTTGAACTTCAGGGCTGGAGGCTGTCAAATAATCAGAGCATGTGCAGAGTGCCTATGGCCAAGTAATGGCAGCTAGGCTCCCCAAATTTGGTTTGGGAAGCATGGGTCTCCAGGATGCATCACACATTTTACATGCAAGCTCAAACCCACCCCCACCAACCTCTCTCTTTCTAGAAATGAACCGCTGTTAGGATTTCTCTGCTCTGTACAGTTGCCCGCCTCACTCTCCTTCCTTTAGATGCATTAGAATCTGGATTGTGTCAATCAATCCAGGAGAGATTAATTTTGTGTGTGTGTGTGTGTGTGTGTGTGTGTGTGTGTCCATCTGGGACAGCCTTCCCCAAGCTGGTGCCCTCCAGATGTTTTGGACTGCAACACCTATCAACCACAGCACAGCATGACTACTTAGGGCTGATGAGAGCTGGAGTCCAAAGCATCAGCTTGGGGACAGGCAGAGTTAGGAAATCCTTGCACCCCTCTTGCTGTAAATCTCTGTGGAGAGCTTTGCAGATTGGAGGCAGTGGGCCTCAAGTCGAGCGGATATGTCCCCCACCCTCCACAGCAAGAGAGCCAGCTTGGAGTGGGCTGATGGGTTTTATTTAGTCCTGGTCTCAGCTGGCCATGAGATTGGCAGCATCTTCACTCACAGGAAAGGGCCAGTGATGGCAGCCTCCTCCGCTGCTGTAGAAATATGTCTCTCACTGAGTGACCCCTTTTGCCTTTATAGTCCACTGCTTAACGCTTTGCTCTCTGCGACACGCTCTTGAGATGGCCCCATTTGGCATCTCATTCAGGCACAAGAAGGCAGAAATTGTGAAGTTGAGGAACGGGCATCTCTAGTGTACAGCTGTGAATGGAACCTCTACCCCCAGATGGCGGTGGAGACAGTGCTGGTTGGGCCCCAGGCAGATCTGCCATCACAGGGTCTTTCCTTCCGTGGGATGGAGCTGCAAGAGAGAAATGGAACCAAGGGTAGTGCATGGAGCAGCTTCTGTGGCAGAGTGGGGGACTGAGGTGCCTGGGAATGTGTGCATGGAATGAAACAAAGCCATCATGCTAAATGTGGAGTGTTTAAGTGAGTGGGCTGTTGCTTCTGCATTCCTAGTAAAGTGACAAGTTCTAATGGTGGTGGTGGTTGTATTTTAAGGAGCTGGTTTTGGACATTCAGAGTAAGAATCACCTTCACTGGAATACGCTAAAAGGTTTGGTGGCGGCCACGAAATCGTTGCCAGTGATTGGCTGAGATGCCGGAGTATCACAGAAGAGCACAAAGCAGGCTGCCATTGGACTGAGCTGCTCTGATGATGGAGAAGGGGCAGGGCATGCTAGAGTGGAAAAATAGAAAGAAGTCTGCCTAAGACACTGAGCAATCTAAGAAGGAAGCTTTGAAGACTTATCCAGCGGGAGAAGGTTCACTCAGCCAGGAGGTGGAGAGGTGAAGATAAAAGGGCCCATTCATATACAACCAGTGGCCAACTCTTTGGCTGCAGGCTTTCAGCAGAACTCTTAACCTCATATCTGATGAATGTCTGAAGTTGCTTATGCTGCTGTCTATTCTAGCTGGCAGTGGTTTTCCAGGGTCTTAAGGAGAGGGAAGCCTTTTGTAGTTCTCCAGACCACATCAGGGATTGAACCCAGAAATATCTGCATGCAGAGCAAGAGACAGACCACTGGAAGGGACCAGGGCTTTTATTTTGTGAATTCTGAGAACAGGAGATATCTGGACAGGAAAAGAAACAGTCTCCAAACTCCTACTGCAGCTGTGCCCAACCTGGTGCCCTCCAGATCAGCTCCCATCAGCCCCCAGCCACCATTCATCTGTGGCTGCCCCTCCCTTGCAGATCAACTCAGGAAATCCAGTTGTAATTCGGTGAGAGTGCTTAGCTTCTGTTTCATCCAGAGTCTGTAATTCCTCCCGATGCGACAGCTGTCACGGCGCAAGGGAGAGCACGAGGAATGTGTCACATTTGATAAGGACACTCTAGCCAGCTAATTTCTGCCCAGGAGGACAGGGAGAAATTGCTCTGAAATCCAGTGCAATCCTGCAATGCTCTTTTCCTTGCATCTCCTCCCAAGTCCCTTCTCCTGTGTTTTGCATGACAGAATTACATCGCATGGCATAGTTAGAGAAGTTGTGCTTAAAACAGCTCCCTCCTCCCCTCCTGCCCCTTGGAAGACTCCCGTTTTCTTGCTTCATCAAGGGAGCTGTGCATTTTGAAGCAAACTGACCCAATTTGCAACTCCCAGATTAATACATAGATTGGAACATACTTAAACTTTGGATTTTGCACTTGTGAATTTTGCAGTGGAGTTCTCTGCTCAAAAAACATGTCATGATTAATAAAAAAATAGTTTTGAATAAAATACATTTAGAAATGCATTCATTGAGATAAAATACTTTTTTAAAAATCACAAATTAATGTGGGAGCACAAGTTAATGTGCACCTGCAAAATGAACAGAGACCAGAAATAGACTGATCTGTCTGTTCTTAACCCCTTTTGTAAAAGAAGCTCCTTGTGCAGAGATGTTTGTAAGGCTGTGGTTGGATATACACTTGGGGAACCTTTTTCAGACAGGGGGTCACATGCCGGGGTAGGCAGGGCCAGAGGAAGTAGTGGGTGGGGCAATGGGTAGGCAGCTCCCACTTTTGTAGTCAGCTGCATTCCAGTCACACACAAAAAGTCAGAGGCTTCCACCCCAAGCCATCTTTCCATCTTTCCAGCTTCCAAGCAACCAAAGAGATTTTCCAGCTGCAGAACTGCACTTGCAGGGGTAGGCCTGGGGAGCGATATAGCCTCAGAAGGGGAACCATGGCTTGGGAAGAGTCCTGTTGGCCAGATAGAGAGACCTGGAGGACCTATAGGTCACTTCCACCTGGGTTGGGAAACCTCAGGCTGGTTCCCCAACCAGGGTGGGAGTGACCCATAGGTCTCTTCTGGGGGGCTGGGGGCTGGGGACTATTAGAGGGTTGAGTGACATAAGAGAACTTTGTGACTGCTGTGCAGGAACCTGTCCTTTTCTTAATTTTGGTTGTCAACAGAGATAGAAGCCATGTTAAGTTAGAGTAGGTCCATTGAAATTAGTGAATGCTAATTTCATGCTATGAGTTCATAGAATCATAGAGTTGTAAGGGAACCCCAAGGGTCATCTAGTCCAACCCCATTCACTGCAGGAATCACAGCTAAAGAAACCCTGACAGATGGCCATCCAACCTCCATTTACAAACCTCCTTCTGAGTTAGGTCCATTGATTTCAATAGATGTGCCCTGAGTAAAACTTAGTTGAGTATTATCCAATGTTGGGGCAAGTCTGTTTATCATAGTGAAGGACAATGAGCCAATGCTGCAACTAGGGCAGGTATCCCGCTTTCTCATAGACCTCTGTGGTCCCTTTTCACTTTCAGGGAGATTGTGAGAGAGTCCTGCTAGGAACATGGGGAGCTGCCTTACACTAATTTGGGCTGTCGGACGATCTAGATTCTAGCTCATGTTTAAGCAAGCTACAGTTTGCCTAGACAAAGTCTGTCTTTGTGTTATGTGCTAACCAGGCCATTTTGTGATTTAAGACGGTTTAATACCT